GAGGGAGGGGCGGCGGGCAGGGGCGCGGCGGCCCTCAGATGATGGTGGGCACCCGCCCGCTGCCGCTGCTCCGGCTGTTGCTCTTCCGGGACAGGTTGGGGGTGGCCATGAGCACGAAGCGCTCGTCGGGGCAGCCGTATTGCAGCAGCACCTCCACGCACTCCTGGCTGGAGGCCTGCTGCGCGTAGGCCAGCGCCGTGTTCCCGTGCGCGTCGCGGGCCATGACGTCCACCCCGTACTGCGGAGGCAACAGGGCTGCGTTAGTGTCCTGTGGGGGGGGGACAGGGCCGCTGAGGACGGGGACCGCCTGTCCGTGCCGGGGTCCCGAGGCGCGTGCTCTAAAGCCCCTGCCCCATGCAACAGATACGGGCCGGGGGGGAACCCTAGTCTTGCTATTTCTATTTTGACCTTCTAATTGTAAATACAAAGAATGATCACGTTTCTCTTTGTTTTTTGAAGTGAATCTTCACGCGAGGATATTTTTTCCATTGCTTTTTAGAGAGAGTAGAAGGGAGAGGGAGAGAAACACTGATGTGAGAGAGACACGGCAATTGGTTGCCTCCCACACGCGCCCCCACCGGGGCCGGGGATTGAGCCTGCAACCCAGGCATGTGCCCTTGACTGGGAATTGAACCCTCTGTTAGGCAGGCTGATGGTATAATCACGGAGTCATACCAGCCAGGGCAAAAAATGATCACTTTTTTTTTAATCTCAGAGGCAATTTGTAGGACACACGGATAAACACACTAAGAGCGTAAGAAAAAAAAATCTCCTATGATCTCTCCATTCACAGATAATCTTGGTTAATAGTTCAGTGTGTTTCCTTTGAATGGGTTTTCATTGAGTCTAAATGCATAACTGAGATAAAACTTTCAAGTGATATGTATCTTTCTTTTTTTAAATTTTTTTTACACCGAACACTGTACTGGGATCATTTTCTGACATCATTAAAAATCATGCAAAAGCATGACATGCAACAGCCAAGAATTCCTCCACGTGAACTAATTCAGGGACTGTCCACAGCTGCTGCACATTCTGCGTAAAACTGTCGCTGGTATAAACCACGCTGTGAGGCACATCCCACACTGAGTGTTTCTCGGGATCTCGGATTGTTAGAGAAGACGGGAAATACCAGGCTACACGCACTAACACTTCCAAGGTTCTTGCTCTTGACAAGGGTGGAGGCCCTGGCCGGGTGGCTCAGCTGGTTAGAGCATTGTCCTGATACAGGAAGGCTGTGGGTTAGATCCTTGCTCAGGGCACATACAAGAAGCAACCAAGGAATGTAGAAATAAGGGGAGCAACAAACTGATGTCTCTCTCAAATCAATAAGTTTTAAAAAAAGAAAAAGAAAAATGGTGGACTGACACCCTGGCTGGGTGGCTCCGTTGACTGGAGCACTGTCTGGTGCACCAAAAGGTTGCCGGTTCAATGCCCGGTGGGAGCACATACCCAAGTTGAGGGCTGGCTCCCCGGTTCGGGCACACATGGGAGGCAACCAATTGATGTTTCTCTCTCTCATTAATGTTTCCCTCTCTCTCAAAAAATAAAAAAATTAAAAAAAAATCAATAAAAACATATCCTCAGGTAAGGATTTAAAAGAAAATAGTGGACTGACTTTTGCTCCCAAGTGTTTGGGAATCTTGTCAGCATGGAGCATTGCAATTAAAAGGACTTTTGGCCAATCTGAGAGGGAGAGATGGCATGCAATTTGCTATGGAACTGTGTCTTCCCCAAGTCTACAGGGTGGAGTCCTAAACCCCAGCACTTTAGAATGAGACTGTATTTGGAGACAGGGCCTTCAGAGAGGTGATTAAGGTTAAATGAGGTCATAGGGGTGGGGCCCTAATGCAACAGGACTGCTGACCTAAGACAAAGACAAGACACCAGGGATGGGCATAGAGGAAAGGCCCCCTGAGGACACAGGAGGAGACAGGGTCTGCCGGCCAAGCAGAGAGGCCTCGGGAGACGCCAACCTTGTCCTCACCTTGGTCCCAGACTCTGGCTTTCGGGACTGTGAGAAAGTAAATTTCTGTTGCTAAAGTCCTGGGTCTGTGGTATTAGGGCAGCCGAGCTGACTAGCCCACCGTTGTTAAAGTAAAGCCGAACATTGGAGTGATTTCGATACCTGGGCACTAATTCTCGTGTCCCACCCATCACAAAAGCCGGGTACAACTGTGCAGGAAGTGGGATTATTCGCAGCTGTGTTGGACAGACCTGTCTCCTGCCCTGAGGGAGGAGACAGCAGAGCCCCGGGCAGGTGACCCACCTCTGCGCAGCGTCCCCTACTGGGGAGCACACGCGGCCCCTCCAAACCCAGGGACCCTCCTGGCAGGCAGCCTTCTGCCCCCTTTCAAATGGGGCCTCCCGTGGCTGAGGACCCCAAAGGTGCGGGGTGTGGGCCGCTTCTCACAATCATGGTCTCCTTCCCCTTGCCCCCATGGCAGCCTCAAGACAAACGCTTCAGTGGGAATTAGAAAAATAATTTCTCCCAGTAAAAATCAATGAGAACAGCGAGCCCTCTGACAAACTCCTCCCGTAGAAAACCTCACAGTTTAGGGGCTAGTACTTCTGTGTTGTGTGAATGAAAAACCCCAAGGTTTGGTGACGGGAAACCATATAAACCATTCAGTTTTTAATCTCGTCTATCCCTACTACCCCCACCAAACAATGAGAGTATTATTTGTGGACAATGAAGAGAGACCCCACCAACCATGCCTGATCCAAAGGGGTACCCTAAAAAGATGAACAAGGAGGACGGCAGCCCCCACACGAGGACGGCACATCCCACTGACTTCCTTCCTGCCTTTCCCCAACCCTGCCAGCGGGGGCCTCGCACGGGCGGGTCTCACAACAGGTGCCCATCCCTGTTGCTGCCCACGCTCGGGCTGGCACCCGCCGCGCCTCCGCCCCCGGGGCCGGGCACCTACCCAGATCAGGAGCTGCGCCAGGACCACGTTCCCCTTGCGGCAGGCCAGGTGCAGAGCTGTGCGGCCGTCGCCTTCCCCGCAGGTCTCGTTGACCTCGTCCCGGGAGCCGTGGGCCAGCAGCAGGATGACCGCCCGCAGGTCCTCGTCGGCGGTGGCCCGCAGCAGGTGCTGGCCCAGGGACAGCTCGGTGCAGGGCAGCGGTGCCAGGAAGAGCTTCTGCTCGTACTTGGCCCGGATCCACCGTTCCTTCTCCTCCCTGCAGGGGGCGGGTGGGGGCCGTCAGGCAGGGCCACGGGGGCTGCCACCCCCGTCCCAGCACTTTCCTCACCAGGGAGCCCTGGGGAGAGGTTTACCTATGGGTCACAGAGCGGGGTCCCCCAGCATCGGCACCTGGGGGGACCTGTCAGCAATGCAGATTCCCAGGCCCCCCGCATCAGCGCCTCCGAGGGTACTGACCCAACCCTGCAGGGGTTCTGAGGCCTGAGCTGTGAGGACCACGAGGTCACGGCCCTGAGCTCCCGTTGGATCTCCCTCGCTTGGTGCAGAGCTGTGGCCCAGGAGAATCGGGCTCCAGCCGGGGACCCATCGGCCCAGAGGTCCCCTCCACCATGAGGACAACTGAGAGTCAGAGCTGAAGACGCTGGGCTGGAGTCAGGGCAGGACAGCAGTGGGTCCCCCGGCCTGGGTGTGACCTGCTCTTAAGCCATCCGCCTGGGAGGGGTGTGAGGACGCCCCGGGGCTCTACATACTTCCAGTGGGAGAAAACACTGCTACACGCCCAGGACGGTCAGAGAGACACAGCTGCCCCAGTCCCCTCTTGCAGCTCTGCCCTCTCTCCAGACACTCGGGAAAGGCTCAGTGGAGAATGTCCCGGGCTCCTTAAGTGAGGGGGTGCGTAGGAGGCGAGGCAGGTGGCCAAGGCCAGAGCTGGGCTAGGGGTACAGGGGAGGGATGAAGCTGCAGAAGGGTGGTGGGGCCTCGGGGCTGTAGAGTGACAGGTGGCAGCTGTCCCTCCGCCAACAGCACAGCCTGCTGAGCTCCAGGAGCTGGGTGGGTGTGAGGATGAATTCCACCCCCACCCCTGCTCCGAAGGGGACAGTACAGGGCCTATGACCCCTGGCAGGAGGACTAGGAGAAAAGAGGGGGGGCAGGATGCAAAGAAGGAAACCATCAGCAAGGGGTGTTGATACTGACCCGAAGGACGGGACGCCTGCCACTGACTCTGGCACTTCGTGGCTACTAATGGTGGAGTTGGGTTTTAGTGTCTCCAAAAAGGATGTGAGAGACATTAAAATAACTCAGCAACCCTCAACACTCTGCAGCACTGCTAGGGGAAAAAAAGGGGTTGAAATAGGAGGGTCAGGGGAACTGGGGGAGAGGGTGCTACGGGGACAGATGTTTCTGAGGAGGGTGATGAGAGAAGAAAGGAAAGCCCTGCAGACGAGGGGTGGCTGTAATTGCCCACAGGGATTTAAATGACGCAGCGCTGCTCACCCCGCACCCCGAAACCCAGCCTTCTCTCCAAAATCCGGCCTTCTCTCCAGGAGAGAAACCGGGGTGCACAGCTCCGACCACGGAGAGATCGCTCAGGGCCCCGCGGTGCTCCAGAAGAAAANTCCCGCACCCTGAAACCCAGCCTTCTCTCCAAAATCCAGCCTTCTCTCCAGGAGAGAAACCGGGGTGCACAGCTCCGACCACGGAGAGATCGCTCAGGGCCCCGCGGTGCTCCAGAAGAAAACTCATTACCCGGGACATTTTTTCCTCTGAAGCACAGAGAAAAGGCCTTGTTTACACCTTTTACCCGTGTTGACACTGCTCCTGGCGGTCTAGTGTCTGCTGAGCCCTAATCTGCTTTTAAATACTTAGGCAAACAGAGTCTTCCACGAGTAAACCCGGATTAGTTGTGCTTCGCTTCCTGGTCCCTGCGAGTGACCCCACAGTGACCCCTGACCCTTTGCAGGCCAAGCCTGGATATTGCCAGGCCAAACTTGGGGCTGCAGCTGGGAGGCCGCCCCGGCATCTGCAGATCCGGGGGACAGGCCCGCGACCCCACCTGGGTCAAAATGCAGGAGCCTGAACACGGCAGCGCCCGGGAACGGCCCGAAGGGGGAGGCAGAGGGTGGTCGGCGCTGCCCGGGAACCTCCTTCAAAGGTGTTAAGCTCATGTTGGCGCATTTCATGAATCACCCCCAGAGCCAGCAGGACCCCAGCGGGACACAGCGACGGTGCCGACACGGCCAGGCCCACGCGCCGATCCGCTGGCTGTCGCGGGACAGGCGTCAAGCCAGAGCAGTTTCACTCTGCTCGGGCGGGTTTCAGTCCTCAGGCCGCGGCACCCAGGGGTGAGCCGGGGAGCCGAACGCGGGAACCCAGTCTGAACGGCAACGATTCCTTTTCCTACGTGAATTTCGAGTGCCCCCAAGGAAGGGGCCAAGCCCACAGCTCTGAACCCCCTCCTGTTGTCACAGGGACGTGCGGGGTGACTGTGCCCTGGGACCCGGTCACCCCACAGACCAGCTCTCCTGAATTCACTGAACTCACCCACGTCTGAAGGAGGGTCCTGTTTAAACCATGCTCTGCTTTGGTGGCGGTGGTTAACCCTCACCAGCGGGTATTCCTTCCGTGTGTTTTCAGAGAGAGAAAGTGGAAGGGAGGGGTGGGGTGGGGGGAGAGAAACATCGATGTGGGAGGCACACTGAACCCGCAGCCCAGGTGCGTGGCCTTGACCAGGAATCAAACCTGTGACCCTTCAGTGCACAGACCGACGCTCTAACCACTGAGCCACACCAGCCAGGACTGTGCTCTGCTTTTAAAAGTCAGTGTTTAAAGGCAGGTCCAGATTCGATGGGACTGAAAACGCTTGCCCTTTGGGGCATCTCCTCCAGGAGTGGGACTCTAACACTGCGTGTGTGGAACTAGGGATAGGGTGTTGGAGGGGCTGTGTGAGCTCCCTGGCTGGTCCACCTGCGACCCTGTGGGAGCTGGAGCAGGGTGACGACACCTACAGAACTCAGGCNGGTCCACCTGTGACCCTGTGGGAGCTGGAGCAGGGTGACGACACCTACAGAACTCAGGCCTNCCCTGGCTGGTCCACCTGCGACCCTGTGGGAGCTGGAGCAGGGTGACGACACCTACAGAACTCAGGCCTGACATTATGCACGTCCGAGGGCACTGCAAGGGGCCCAAACAGGTGCAGAGTCCCACAGCCACATGGCCCCTCACCCTCCATGAGGACCCCCTGGTGGCTTTTATTAGACGGAGCCAAGGCTCTTCCCCAAAGCGCCTTGTCCTGTTAAAAACCTTTTAGCCCTGGCCTGTGGCTCAGCTGGTTCGAGCGTCATCCTGTGCACCAAAAAGGTTGTGGGTTCAGTCCCTGGTTGGGGACCATATAGGAGGCAGCTAATCAATGTTTCTCTCTCTCCCCCCCCTTTTCCTCTCTCTCTAAAATAAAACAAATAAGAGCAAACAAACATATTCCTGGGTGAGAATTACAGAAAACGAAAAAACAACCTTCATGCGCTTCTGAGTCCCACAGGACTGCAACGTGTCCCTGCTTTTTCAGACACCAAGAGGCAGCCAGAAAGCTCGGATGGTGGGCCGCTGGGCTCCCCTCAGCAGCTAACATCCAGCCCACAGGGTCAGGGGCCTCAGACAGGAGCGTGTGGGTGTTCTGGGGGTTGACTCTGCACCTCACCCACACATCAGCACTTCCTGTTGCTGAGACCCCCTTTCCTGCCCGCCTGACAGACCAGGGGGCGCTGAGTCCTGGGCGCTCTCTGCAGAGGCCTCAGGGAGAGGGAACAGACGCGACCCTGGCATTAGAGACCGTGGGGTTCGTGTGTCCGCTTCGTTCTTCTCAGACCTCTCCAACTTCAGGAACACCTTGGCCCCCCCTTCCCTCATCTGTAAAACGGGCACGTGGCTGTGGGATTGTGAGGCCACGTGTCTGGACGACAAGGCCACAGTGGTCACTCTGCAAATGGAAGCTGTTGGGGGTGTTGGGATTGAGGAGAACGTCGGGAATGATTCACGTTGCTGTCAGCCACGGGAGAGCTCGCCTGTGGAGTGGTGTGTGTGACACAGAAGTCCCGGTGGCAGGGGGGTGGGGAGGGAGCGCACGCTGGATGCTCTAGGTTCCTAAATCCCAGCTGTCTGTACAAATGAGCGTCACAGGGCCCACGTGCTTGGCAGGGTGAGAGGGGTGGCTCTGGCCAGGGGCCCTGACAAGCCCACCCGTGTCTTTTGCGAGCCACCCCTCATCCCCAGGGTGCAGAGGAGGCTGAGACACTGGGGGGAGGGGTGCTCAGTTGGTCCATATACCCCATGGCTGTCTGGGTCTCTGGGGCCACATCTGGTCAGCCCGTCTAAAGTCCTCCTGGAAGTTTGGACTGAGTCATATCCCCCCACCCCCACCCAATTCACATGCTGACGTCCTGACACCCAAGTGTAACACATTTGCAGGCAGAGCTATAGGAGGTGATTAAGATTAAATGAAGTCAGGAGCGTAGGACCCGATCTGAGGTGTTTTATAAGAGACATGAGGCCTCAATCCCTCTCCCTCGCTCGCTTTCTCTCTGCACAGAGGAGAGACCCCGGGAGGACAGGGTGAGGGGCCGCCCTCTGCAAGCCAGAAGAGGCCTCACCAGAAAGCAGCCCCGCCGACACCTTGACCTTGGACTTCCGGCCTCGGCGCCGTGAGAAGGTCGATGCCTGTTATTTAGGCTCCCAGTTCGGTTTCTGTACCGACAGTTAACACGTGCGAAAGGCGGGCCCTCCGACGGAGATGCCTTTTCTGCCTAAAACCTCATATCCTGTCGGGAAGCGCCTGCCCCGAGCAGCCATGATGCGGAGGCACGAACACCCCGGTCGTCGCCCTGGTGTCCCGCCCTCGCCCCCCGGACCTGCCCGCCGTGGCCGTGCTTTCATCTCCCCCACGGAAGGCCAGTTCAAGAGCAGAGGCGCCCGCAGTACATCACCTCCCCTCGTTCCAATCCCCCGGAGGCCCGCTGCTCACAGCCCCTGTTAGCTAATGAGCTAAAAAATGAATTATTGGCTTGGCCGGCCGTCAGCAGGAAGGAGGCGGCGGCTCCTCATTTGAGCCCCTTGCTGACACACCTTTAAATAAATCAACCGCATGGGAGCCAGAGAAAATGAGAGAACGGGCGACTAATCAGGAGACAGACACGGACCGAATCCCCCCAAAATAAAGACACCACTGAAGGCAGGGCAGTAAACATTTGTTTCTCTCCCCACCTG